CCCCCCGCGGACGTATTATTTTATACATCACCATTATTACACCTGTATAAATTAATTCGAGTACTTAAACTGAAATTATATTTATGCGTTCAGAACGTAAGTAATGTACAAGTTTAATGAACTCACCACTGCTGTAGGAACTTGCCCCGGTACTATCTGTTGACTAGCAGCCATAGTCATTTGCTGCATTAATGCATTCTTTAGGGCCAAGTGGTTACGGCCATTTATCAACAGCTGGTCCTTGAGATGCTGCGGTGGATGGAAATATTTGCACGGCGGTTTCTCTCGGTTACACCTGCCCTGTAATTCGTTAACATAAATAAATTAAGTATTGAACATTCGCTTATTGTTGTTGAACAGAGGTAAACATATAACATTTAACGGTGTACAGTGTACACACACGATGAGACTGTTTCATCGAACAAGGTAGCAAACATAATTTATACGCGCTTAGCAACATACCATGCAGGCACGCATGTGATATTGTATTCATTCCAAAAACAAGGCGCAATTAATGTCTCCGAGATCACCAGTTTCTACGCAAGCGCAGGTTAAAAAATATATAAGGTTAATATAGAAATAATATTAATATACAGGTTAATATCCTGATATTTTTCCGCAGTTTTTTTCCACGTTCTTGGTGTGAACACATAGATCAGTGGCTGCAACCTGATGCGACCTCCTACCACCATCGCCCTACAAATTATATTATACAACACTTTTTCGTTTACTATAGGCCACCCCCGGGTCGCGCACCACTGATACAGATCATCGACGTTGTAATCGAGGAAAAATATAAGTAGAGACTCCGATATTTTGAGAGATTTTGTAATATAATAAAATGCTAATAATTATTATAAATAGACTAGTCATTAAGAATATCATAATCTTCTAAATATTATTATTGAAAATGTTTCGATTATATTATAAAATATATGTACCTATTTAATAGCCGTCAATCTTTCATTTTTTTTTTCACTTAACATAGCTTAGTAAACCAAACGAGCATAATCACTCTAGTCGTTAACTCGCAACAGCAGATTGTATTCAATAATAAAAATATGTCTCATAAAATTCCCAACACTATAACAATCACAAGACTAGTTGTCCGCAATGCAATTATTGAATTATATGCCCGAACTTGTTTCGTACCTCATTCTCATGACATTTGAACAAACCTCTCCAACGGTGGAACCATCTAAATAGACTATAGAGTACAACATTTTGGTGATCTTGAGTCCGAAATTTGGAGGTTTAACTGTATTGCGATAATGGCCAACCAGGGTCAACGTGTTCTTAATGAATTTTTACAAACGAACAACGGCAATGACACCAGAACACAAGTAAAATAATTTGTGATTCTATTTAATATAACACTTTGAATATTTTTTCAATATCTTTTAAATTGCCGGTATTGAAGCCCAAGAAAACGCAGGTGAAACGTCTTATTTCATATTATTATTACAATAATACAATATGCCAAACCACCGTATAGTAGAATAGAATATTATTAGCGTATGGCACGACGTAGAATCAACCCGTTTTCTACTCTATACAACCAACACTGCCATCGCATACGATTTCTCAGCGTACCTACAACTTTAATATTATAAAGATCAATGAGAAATGGTCATAATTTTAATTTTAGAGCAATCCGAGTTCAAGCATATTTTCTATATGATAATATTTTCACACAATAGTCCAATAGGCATAATCGTTTAATGCGCACCTATACCTATTGTAACTATTAATCGTCACTAGGGTTAGGGACTTCATGCCCTTAAAAACCTTAAAATATGCATGCATTTATGACCTAAAGAATCAATATATTATATGCTATTAAAATATGAATTAAAAAAAAAATGATATTCTTTTACAAAATCGTTAAGCCGATCATAAGGTTTTGGTTTAGGAATTTTTTTAATTATTTTATTATGGGCTCACTCGAAAGAAAAAACCCTTCACGAAACCAAAATACGAAGAACGCACGACACCAACTGTCAACTATTACTATTCAAGGGATCGTCTGGCCTCTATCTACAACTATAGTCATAGTTTTTTTTTTTGGTATCATTATTGGCTTATCGCCTATCGGGAATCACGAGTGTGGTATACCGATAAACAACAATACAGTTATAATGATAGGCAAGAAAAACGCAAACATAAATATTTAAATATTTATATCCGGTCCAGGAAAATATCTATTTAAAATACAATTTTTTTTATAAAACTAAAAACTTACTCCTCGTATAGATAATATTGTCAAATATGCACTGATAAAATGAAAAATGGTCATAATAATATATGCACTTAAAAATGAAATATGGTCAAATATGCAAAATATGCAACTATAAATTTTAAATATAAACTTGTAATGCTATGAAACAAATTTCTGTTTTACTTAGCTATTTTGTTTTTAATGATTATTTCAAAACATGCAAACTCCTAGAAGTCCCGAGCCCTAATTATCACACTGCGTCAATGATATAATAATATATTATGTTATAATGTTAATCGTTTGTAACGTTGTTTTATGTTGTGCCATAATGTGTACCGACGCTTGTTACGTCTTATTAGATCAAAAACACGGTTGATTGGTCAAATGGCACAGCAAAGGCTCACCGGATTATAGGGCTTATGCGCATAAAAATTGATGTACACACACTCGCATGCGCATTATACCTGCACATTATATTATAGCCGTGGAGTGTAGTTAATCAATTTAAAAAAAGCAAAGAGAAACCTCTAAATTACAATTTTACAATTTATGCATACCGTTTAATATAGAATACATTATTATAGTTTTTCGTGTTCAACATATTATTTTCGAAATGTTTCAATTTATATTTGTAATTACTAATATTTTTACAAATATGTATTTTAACGGCATATAAAAAAAAAAAATAGTTATTTATAAAAAAACGTGATGTACTTAAACCCATATAGTCTACATATGTCAGTGAATAATAACGACAGGTAATAAATAATAATAGTGTACTTTTTGTTTTCAAATCGAACCGATCCAAATTTGGAGTGAGTGTCAAATAGCCAAAGAATCGATACCAAAATAAAAAGTCACTGTTGTTAGGTTGAATAATGCAATATCGTTTCGTTATCTATCTTACTGACACACGATACGTTTTCAGAGTTGTTTCGAATTTTAAAAAAAAAAAAAAGTTCGGTGCGGGGTGTATATAAAATTCCACGAGAATCAATCTCCCCGATTCGTCCACGAAAATCACGGTTCGTAACAAAGCTGATACCTATATTTGTATAGAAAGATGTCGTCATATCATACCGTCTTAAATAATATAAATGGCAATCGTCGTCATCCATCACCATTACTACGGCTTAAGTGCATAATTTACGCATGCATATAAGCACCTAATATATTGTGTGCAGAACGTTTCGCTAGAAAGTTTGATAACGTCTAATCTGTAGCCGTGATTCAAGCGGAGGGGGGGGGGAATCGTAGTACGTGACCAATGACGCACTGCTGGACTATAATAGTAACATAACTAATATACATACCTACTATTATATTATAATAAAATTAATCTCAGATCATTGTACGTTTTCTTATACCTGAGTATGTGCGTGATCCATGTCACGTATGTATTATTGTGAGAGTCGGCAAACATGTTCGGACATGCGCACAACTGTAACAATGATAATATTATTATAATAATGTGTGGACCGAAGAGCAATGACACGAGGAAAAAATTCTGTCGAAAAGATAGATACCACCCTAGTGCATTATTAAGTAGGAACCTATATGAACTTAGTCAAAAATCAAAATCAAAATTTTTGAGATATTAAGTAGATATTTAGTGTTAATAAAACCAATACAACCGTTACCAAAATAATAAATTGGTATTTATGTATTATCATTTTTTGATCAAAAAATTGACGACCCGGAAGTGTTGTGAAATAGTGGATATTCAGTAGATTGAGTATTCGCAGGAGTTCAAAAATATTATTTTAGTTATTGAACTATTGAATTTATATTTTAAGTACTGTTGTCCATTTACAATAGTAGTCGAGTATTGTTTAAATACTATAACTTTTACCATACTAAATAATATTATGAGTGGGTACTGGAGTATTCAATACACTTTCCTCGAACTTCATTTTTCCGAATTTCAATAAAAATACTTATCATTTAAAAAAAAAGCTCCTCAAACAGCTCTATCGCAATATTTTAAATTAGAAATAGTGTAGTCAATAATAAAAAAAGTCATATCCGAATGAATACAATTAACTGATTGTTAAAAAAAAACAGGCATTTGTTATTCTAATGTTAATACTAAATTTTAAGTTAAACCTAACAAAAAAGTATTTTTCGTAACACGGTCTATGCCATAAATATGATGGTAATATTATCTTATAGGTAATTTTATTTGTGCTATTGTCCTATATATCCATTAGCTATGAATTATATTAATTTATCGTAAACCTGTGGGGTCACCTATAAATTATTGTTCCCGTAATCTGCAGTTAATCGAGCGGACGAGTTGTACACGGTTGCACAATACAATTTTCTAGTACTAATTTTAACAGATTTCTCCTAAGTAACACTCTTTCAGACAATTCACAAGCTCCACAAGTTGTGAGCCACCAAAACCGAACACACATTTTCACTCGTCAACTAATGTTGATCATTTATGTTTAGGATTTCCCGGTGGTTTGAAAAAAAAACGAGACAAGAGAGAGAGGACGGACGGAAATATTATATCAACCGTTTTTTAGTTATATAATCTGCTGATATCCACGTGGTACTGGCTATTCGAGTGCAATGATTTATCACCGCTTTCCATATTACAAAAGCAGCCCACCCGAGTGCTTTACGAAACTTAAAATACTTCGAGCTACGTATTATTATAAACAATATTTTACTCTTCTAAGTACTCATATTTTGTATGCCATACAAAAACGCTTAATGTGGGTAAGTACTAAGTACACTTGGTAAAATTGGTAATGGCAATACCGTAGGGTTTGTTGCACTTTTAAAATAGGCATATAATATTGGTAGCATGTATTAAATGATTATTAACTTGTTATTATTTTCAAATCCAAAATTCAGATTTTACTCTCATAAAAATATATTATTACCATTTACGAATAATTGTGTTTAGATTTTATGAATTCATCTAACAAATAAAATTATGCCTAAACATAAACATAATACGGGTAAACAATACTGTGCTATTTGTACTTGGTACGCCATACTGAAACGCATAATGTGGATAAACTCGATACACTCGGTAATGATGGTAATACTGTAGGGTTTGTTGCACTTT